ACAATTTGGAACAACTTTTGCAGTGAGAGTGCATAAGATACCTTAACATGATTTCAAGGTTAGGTAGTCTGTTCACTAGGATCTGAAACAGAGCCATTATAATTAAAAAAATTGACAGTATAGAAAAACAAGATCTCCAAATGCTTCACAGTTATGACACTGGGCATGTGGCCTGACAATTCTAGATCTCAATTTATGTACACAGTAGGCTGGAAATTCAAGAATGTTGACATCAACTGTTAAGTTCTGAAGATAACACTATCATTTCAGTAACTGAACGCATAGAAAAACAGGTCACATTTTTAATAACATCTCTCCAACATCTCATTAATCATGGATCAGTTAAGCCTAGTCCTATAGAACCAGGTCAAAAGTGACTGGATATGGAAAATGATGGAATAATTCTTAATTTGAGTCCAGCTAACCAATTCAATGAGTTATCAAATGTCGAGTTCATCTAATAAAGCTCTCAAGGAAGATTTTTGGCTCTATAATTGTACTTCAGTGATAAATGACTAGTGATTATCGCCATAATACTCGCACTTCACTCATCTTTATTCACAATCATTGTCCTGACAGCTTTATCATCAGATGGATAAATCTTGGTCACATCAGTTCGATCGGTGTATACACACACTGGGTGATCGAATTAAACCCTAAACAATTTGAGAGAGGTGAGGTCAGAGGTTGTTCCAGCTTATGGGCCACCTCACTGACAACTAGAAGGAGCCTGGATGAAGCCGAGGAAAGATGATGTACAGATTGTGGGAACGGTTATGGTCTTGTTATGCACAATAGTAAGAAATGTCTAAAAACTGGAGGTCAAAGGGCATAGTGGTAAAAGGTCTGAGCTGGTAACCAAAAGGTTGTGATTTTGACCCTGACAAACAGGAAATCTATGATTGTGCGACTTTCAGAATCGGACTATGAATGACTTATCATTCAAACTTCTGAGTTTGAACCGAATTTGAATAGGAGGTAACAAACAGGATGAACGGCAATGTAAGGAAGTCAAAGAAATTAATATACATCTAATTGTAATTTGTAACTAGAAAAGCAAAGTTTGTCTTTTTTCAAAGTTTTGAGTTTGTCTTGTTTCATAGTTTAAAACCTTTGAAGTTTGAAAGTTTCTAGAGTTTAGAGGAAAAACTGATAAAACAACAGACAGACAGAATAAAAAACCAATAGAATAACAGACAGAAGGACGGACAGAATGAAAAAAATACAGATAGAAAAAAAAATTATAGAACGATAAACAGACAGATAAACAGAATGTGATTCACATGTATTTGATTCGCTCAGACAGACAGAACTGAATAAGTGATAGACAGACAGACAGAAAAAACAATAAAACAGAAAGACAGATGTGGTCAATTCCATTCAAATTCATGCTAATGAACTGAAAGGGAGCCAATTCTTCAATTCTGAATTTTGCACAGCCCTGCCTTCAGCGAGCGCCTGTAATAAGTGTACTTCAAGTCTCTTTGGATAAAAGCATCTGTTAAATGACTACTTGCGTACTAGAGCTCCAAAATGACAACTTGATTTGCTCTGTCTGGCTGCAGACCACAGACTACAAAGAAAAGTCATACAGTAAGTGCAGTTATGAAGACCTCTGGTGTATCTTCCCAAACTGAAGGAGATTAATGGACTACCTAAACTGCAGCTCAGAGAACACCCACTACACAAACCCAAGACCCTGCTACGACAGAGACAGACATATGAACGCCAGACAAACAGGCCATGAGAGAGATAAAGAAGATGATTTAAACCGTATTTATCAAGCATAAGGCTGACACAATGTTAAACAATGACACGTTGGGGCTGATTACAGCTCACATTGCTGTAAGCTATGGTGTGTGGAGGTCACAGGGTCACGGTAGCAGCAGGGATAATAGGATCTGGTACAGGCCCGGCTTGTGCGGAGTTAATTACGAGGGCCACATAGGTCCCTCCGTTCTCCTTCTCCTTGTAACTCATAACTTAATGAGCTTTGGAGTCTGACTTCTGACTGGTTAGACCTTTGTCTTCTCAGCGGCACCTGATTCATCTGCAAACACACATACATGGGGCCGTTTAAACAGCTGAGCGGCTTCACCCCCTGCTCAGCTGCTGCTAATGGCCGTGTACGTTCACAAACACACAGGCTGAGGGTCACGAAGAGTGTGTCCTGATTGTTGTTTGACTTTCATAACAGCGCTGTCTCCAGGGAGTCTCTGTGACTGGCAGAGCGGGAGGTGGGCGGCCGAATATACTGTCTTTGAACTCTGCAAAGGGTTTCTGCTCTGCAGAAAGATGGCCTATTGAGTTACATTCATGCAGCTGAAAATTGCAGAACATCTAGAGATGTAGACATTAATGTTGAACGCAACAAATCGGGACCTTGGTAGGGGACGTCTGCGCTGAAAATGTGAAGAAATGTGCTAGGCCTAATCGGAGTCAGCCGCAGTTACGGATGTGGTCATTTCTACTGCTGGAGGAATTAAAAGATAAATCAGACACTATTTTTGGCTCTTTTTTTTTTATATTTTGTAAAAGAGTTGAGGAGTAGTGACGCTACACTTAAAGTAGTGACGCTATTAATTTAAAGGGATAGTTCCCCCGGAAATGAAAATGTAGTAATCATTTACTCACCCTCATGTTATTCCATACCTGTATGACTCTTTTTTTTTTCTTTCTTTTTTTGTGCGGAACACACACGATACTTGGGAAATTGTCATAACAGTTTTCAACAAAGTGAGGTTAAGCAAATGATGCCAGAATATTTGTTTTGAGTTGAACTACATTACAGTAGCTTAACAGTAGTTCGAGCTGCTTACAAACTAGCTTTTAGATAGATAGCTTTTAGTTGCATTTATTATAAAATTATGTGTAGTTTAATGCAAACATATGAAGAGCATTTATTTGAAATAGAAATCTTTTGTAACATCATAAATGTCTTTATTGTAATTTTTTATCAATTTAATGCATCCATGCTGAATAAAAGTATTAATTTCTTTTTAAAAATCCTACTGTCCAAATATTTTAAACAGTAGTGCATATTAATATGATTTAATAAATTTATTATTATTATTATTATTATTATTATTATTATTATTAGATGGACATCTTTTGTGGTACATTGCATCTCACTGTTTATTTCAGTGTCACACCAGAAGGCTCCTGTAGCACAAAAAATAGAACATGGTGCTACTAATGCCAACATCATGGTTTTGGTTTCCAAGGAATGCATGAACTGATAAAAACTGTACATTAAATGCATGGATAAAAATATGCCAAACGCCATCGCAACAAATACAAATTACAATACATGCTGAAAAATCAATAAAGTCATGCAGTTATTGTGTTTCCTGAGTCATTTCTGAGTACTTGTGCCAATCCCTAGCTGCAGTGTAATCAAGCCATCATACACCACGAGGGGAAGAGCTGGCACAATCCAGGATTATTCCTTCTGCCTCCCTCACGCTTACCTCTCCATCCTCTTCCTCCTCATTTATAAGCTGTTGAAATCAGCCATTAATCCTACATCAAAAGTGGAGAAAGGCATCTCGACCCCGTCATTCAAAAGGAGGCCCATCTGATTATAACAATCCAATTTTATTGCGAGTTTCATTAAGGGGCTTTTTGCCATGTGCGGAATGCAGGAATGTGATACCTCTCTGGGCATGTGCACCGCAGACATGTAATCAGCACACACCAGCAGCCTCGTTTCTTGGATCGCTCCTGCTTAGTTACGGCACCAAAACACAGAAAAACAATAATTTGAGTGAGGTAGCCGGCACTGTAATTGCAGTGCCCACACATTCTGGCATTAAAATGCCAGGGTCTTCGGACCCCAAAGACCTAGCCAGAAGAATGTGCATCCGTCTCCATGGCAACCACAGCATAGCATGCACACAAAAATTCAAATGACAAGCATCTTAACACACGGTAGGGCAACATCACACCCTGAGGATACAATTTAACATGAAACTATGAAGATAAGGGGGAAATAACCGCATTCATGGCAGACCAGGCAAACATGGTGGTTTCAAGAGTTGCGTAAGAATCCCATTAGATGATGAAATGTTACTCTAGCTGCTACAGTTATAAACAGGCATAGAACAGATGTCAAAGGTAAAACTGTTTACAAACAGATTTGGAGGATCAGAATGAAACGTGGAAGTAGTAATGCACTCAATATTGCTATCTCCAAATAACCACAATGCACCTGTAACTCGGGGCTTCACAAAAATGTCATAAAAAAATTAATTGAGTCTGGTTTGGGAAAAAAAATTCTCTCTACCATTAACAAAAGTATGGAAACAAATTATAAGAATTATGAGATGTAAATTCAGAATTCAGAGAAAAAGAAGTCAGAATGGCTCAGAACTGCGAGAAAGTTGTGAGAAACTCAGAATCAAGAGTTTATATCTTATCCAGAATTGTGAGTTAAAAAGGTGACAATTATTTTCTGTGGCAGAAAACGGCTTAAATACAAAAATGACAAAAAAAGGCCAAAAATATAAATAAATATTTACACAACTTAAGACACCAGTGAGACCCTCTTTCGAGGATGTTATTTATCTCCCATGCTGCAGCAGACGTGGTAATCTACTGAGAGGGAGGATGAGATAAAAAGATGAAAGAAAAGAGAGTTAAAAAGGAATGGATGAAAGGGAGGCGAGGTGGGCACATGAAAGTCAGAACCCCGTGGCGTTTAAGTAGCGTTTAATCCAAGAAGGGCCTTAAACCACCACTGAACACACACACTGAACCAGACAGGTGGACAAATTACACACGCATAAACCGCAGGTGCAAAAAGATGCATAAATATTCCCCTGTGTTAAGGGAAGAAAGTCTTTAGAGTGTAATGCATAAGATAAATCAACTGGTTTGTTTCTGTTGCTTTTCTACCATCAACTATTAATTAAAAAAAATGTGATACAGAGCAATGAAAAATGTAGTTCAATTAATCACTAAGCAATAAAACTTAAAGAATCTTTAAAAAACATTCTTACTCTCTCTCCTTCTCTGTGAGTTTGTCAGTGATGGTGTCCTTGATGGAGGAGCGGGAACCCTTGTTGATGACTGGATACCTGAGTGGAATCTGCAGGAAGTTCGATATCATCAGCACCAGGTGTGCCGTGTAACCCAGAGCCACCGCAACACTCCCATCATCCTTTGCTGCAGCAAACAGAGGAAAACACAGGGGGAAAAAACGCTCAAATAAGAGAAAACTGCACAGCAAATAAAACTCAAATAAGACAGGTGAATCTCGAAGAAAGTTCTGGGTCATATTTAGCCACCGAAAATCAAAAAGGAAAGAAATATTTTATTTAAAAATGAAGATCTTTGGGATCACTGAACATCAGAGCCACTGAGGACTCAGTAGATTAGTTTTGATGGTAACGCGCCACCGAAAACATAAAAAAACGGAAGAGAGGGGTGGAGTGAGCAGTAGCTCAAAAAGGGTGCTGTTTTACACGACCATTGAGGAACTTTAACCAAAGTATGTTGCAGACATTTCATGCAGACCCTAAAGAATCATAACAACATGTTGAAAATGGGCATCTGATGTCCCCTTTGAGAGAACATTAAATAAATGTCACAATGCACAAAATATTAGTAATACAAAAACTGTTCTTCTCCATTTTAGCTGGAGTCAAGATTTGTACATTTTGATTTAAAGGATGATTTACAACAATTGAAGTTCATTGACTCCAATCCGAGGTTATAAATCAGAGGCCATTTGTTAAGTTGATTTTCATTTTGGCCATTCATTTTGTTCAGTCTCCTTAGGACCCTTGAGTTATAGGGAGTCGCATAATAACCTAATACCATGCAAAACTTCCTGATGGGGTCAAAGGTATCACCAGAGGCTAAAAGCTACTCTAGGATTAGCCGATCCTTGTTTTTTTTTTTAGTGTTCAATCTTTAAATGTGTATATTCACACTGCGACGTGTGCATTTCCTAAATAATTCTATGCAATCTAAATCACTCTGATGACCCCATTACTGTCTGAGCGGCAACCTTTCGGGGCATTTCTGGTAAATTCAAACAAAAAGCCCAAATGCCAAGCAAAAAATATTTGGTTGCTGAGCAACTGGTAGGACAACTCTCACAAGTAGCCAGAAAAACCACACTTCTTGTGCTTTATCATAAACATACATCCAAACTACATTTCCCAGACATCTCTGCAACTACATGTGCTCCACTGTACTCACTACATTTCAGCTAACAGAAGGTTTCCAGGCTAGAACAGCCACATATTTCCAAATGAAAACAACACACTGTGGACACAGACCATATCACTTATTAAAAGCTGCGTGAGATTTATTTGTATAATATATTGTATACGCATACGAGTTGTCATTTTGTGTTTTCAAAATGCATGAGAATGTGTGCCAAGCAATAGTTACACATGTGAAAGACTGCATACACATGTATGTGAATATGCGTGTCGTTGAGTGTGCGGTTCAACCTGGCTTCCATTAACCTCTCTGATCTTTTGAAGTCATGCCTTCCCTGTCTGAAAAAAGCCAAACCTGATTCCCTGCGACACATACAGTGCTGCCTAAAGGACACATGGGAAATGAGATGAATAACTCTCCCCACAGCCAGCACAACAAAGGACATCACTTGTACCCATCAAACACAATTCATTCTCCTTATTAAAAACCCCAAAAGCCTAACTATAGGGAACTGGGAGATGAATGCCCTAATAAAATCCTTTTCTCTTATATAATGTGAGAAGTCAGAAGGTCCGACCACGGTTCTTGCTGTGTGAGTAACTGACTAGAGAGTGATCTCAGTCTTAACCACAAGTTGAAGGGTTCCATGGACACAGGGCTCCATTGATCAGAAAAGAGGAGGATGATTGATTGATGGCCTGGAGCCTGTGATCCACAGCCAGACTAAAGAAACCCAGAAATCAAGGGAATTGTAGCCAGTCAAGCAGAACTGACTGGGGATTCAAGAGCTCCTCTCCAGATGAGTTTAGATTTGCTATATCTGATTCTGATCTGATTTAATTCAGAGAGTGACAGTACTAAAAACTCCCTCCTTCTGCTTAGTATGCTTGGAAAAATGACTTAAAATTCACTCTCTATATTAGAGAACAGAAAATGAGAAATTTTCTTTGTCAAGCTGACTGTAGAGTTTTGGACTGACTCAAGAGAAAGCAAACACTTCTTGGCATGACTGTCGGCCTTGCCTATAAACTCAAAATGGCAAAATAATTCTCAATTAATTGGTTAATGAATAAATCAGTCTGTCACAACTTAGGAATGTTCATCACAAATATTTAATTGCCGAATTCCAAACTTACCTTGAAAGTCTTCCGAATTGGGCAGTTTGACACCACAAATCACATAATCATTCTGATTGTTCTGCAACGAAAACAAGAAAACAACAGAAAAGCAGTCATGAGCACAGCATTCTGGAAACAGCAGGAGCAGCCAATTGATCAAATCCTTTATACAGCAGCTGAAAAAGCCTGGCAGAGGATAGTTTGCTCTGAATGTGGTTTTCTGCTCATTTTCAATGACTTTATTCTGTAAAATGATTTGACTGGCAGTGGGACTCTATGGGCACCAGTCAATGTACGCACTGAACAGTAGATCTAGGTCATACTGAGATGGTGGGAAATCAAAACTTGTTTCCAGCAAGTAACACCAGAGTCTGCAAAGACCCCGACCTCTAATATTCCCAACATGCTCATGCGCCAACCATCAGCACAAAACAAGAAAGACAGGAAGCTCTATTCTGAGTTTTTTTGTTGAGCGTGTTTGAATGTGTTATTGTTTGTGTGTGGCGTTAAACACTCACCACATCAATGGGATAAATGTAGGACAGCTCTGATATAAGCTGACGACAGCGGAAGGTGAGCTGGGCATTGGATTTTAGAAACAGCTCTCTGTTGAAGAACAAACACAGAAGAACTTCACTATATATTCAAATTAAGTGTATGTATATATATATATATATATATAATTTTTATAATAATAATAATAAATTAATATGTATTTATTTCTATATTAATATTTTTTAATAATTATCTTGCTAATACATATAATTTCTGTTAGTATTTTTTATTATTATTATTCATCTTTATTTGTTTCTAGACTGATATAAATTAATATATTATTAGTAATGTAGTATATTAAAATTAATAATAATAATAATACATATTTAATAAATACATTAGACAAAATAAATGAATAATAATAATTTAATAATTGACAATATTATATTGCTGTTATAATAATGTTTTTATCATCATTTAACTTTATTTTTATTTATTTCTATATTGATATTATTTAATATTTGTATTGTTTTTGCAATAAATTCATAATAACAATTACAACAATCAAATAATTGATAAATAATAATTATTATAAATTAATAATATTAAAAGTTAAATGATAGTAAAACTGTTGTTAATAATAATTTTTAAAAATTAAACAAATTATATTATTATTATTACTATAGAAAACGAATACAAATGACATGTGTAAATATATTATTCTAGGAAACCTGTGTTCGTGCATCCACCAAAAACAAACTTGGGAACAACTGGTTAACAAAGTGACTTTTGAGAAAGGTTTAAGCAACATTTGCTAGCAGATGTAACTTGTTTTGATATTTATATTTATCTAATAAAAAGTAATTCACACATTTTAAGTACACGTTTTTAGTGTCCAAAATTGTCTAAATGCTTTTTGGAGCTACTGTATAACCAGCAAAAGTCAGTTGCAAGACAGGAAATAACAGGGAGTCCAAATGACATGGAGACGAAAGAGAAAAAGAACAAGAAGAGGAAAAATAAGTATTAATTGCAATGTTTATACTGGCTTTAGGAAGTTCACTTTGCTAATGATGCTCTGAATCATCTCTCTAGTAATGGTAAGAACTACTCCGTTATCATAACTGCCAAATTACAATGAACTTCCTCCACTCTGACCCCATCCTCCAGTGGTACAACCAACCCTAATCAGGACACATCTGTCAAGTAGGGGACACACCATTACCTCAGGACGGGGGGAGGCTGGGGGACGGGCACAGCTAAAACCAAGACCTGACCAGGTGAGGTGCAAGGGGTTGAAAAAATTTTTACTTTTCATGCTCAGCATTCAGCTACTGGGTCTGTGGCTTGAGGAGAAAGATGAAGAGTAATGATAGAGGATAACGTGGTATTCATTTACAGCCATGAAAATGAGACAGGAAGGAAATAATGATGAGGTATGAAGGATATACCTTCCTTACTGAACTATAGCTTACATGTGGGTCCACCAGGCCTGCTCTACACCACCCAAAATCCGGTCAAAACATTTCTATCCAACCACTGTTAAACTGTGAACATAACTTGATCTGTCTTTACTGGAAGTGGGTCTCCGATGTGCCAAAAACAGCACGAGATGTGAATCAACGCCCAGAAGAGCCCATCGCTCATCTGTCTGAATGTGTATGACTGTAGTGGCAGTAGTTTAAGGGGGATGAATTTAAACATATTTATAATTTAAAATAAATAAACTACCGGTCAAAAGCTTGGAATAATTAAGATTTTTAAGTTTTTTTATGAAGGCTCTTATGCTCACCAAGGGTGCATTTATTTGATCAAAAATACAGAAAAATAATTAATATTGTAAAACAATTTTATAATTAGTTTTCTATTTGAATAATGATATTTTAAAATGTAATTTATTTTGAAAGCTGAATTTCAGCAGCCATTATTCCAGTCTTCAGTGTCGCATGGTCCTTCAGAAATTATTCTAATATGATTTTCTGCTAAAGAAACATGTTTTTTATTATTATTATCAATTTTGAAAAGTTATACTGCTTCATACGTTTGTGGAAACCATGATACACTACCATTCAAATGTTTGAGGTAAGTAATAAATAAATAAATATATAAATAATTAATACTTTTATTCAGCAAGGATGCATTAAACTGAATTAAAGTAAATACATTTATACATTTACAAAAAAAAGTTACAATCGAAAATAATTATTTTTAATTGTATTAATATTTCTCAATATTACTGTTTTTACCGTATTTGTGAGTAAACAAATGCTGCCTTGGGGAGCATAAGAGACTTCTTTAAAAAAAAAAAAAAAAATTATTTTAATTATTCAAAACTTGACCAGTAGTGTATAAATAAATATAACACATAAACATAATAAATATATGAGTAAATATAATAAATATTATATTTGTATAATATACAATATATTTAAAAAATATGTTATCATATAATGAAAATCAGTAGTTGGCGGAGCGATTAGTCAAAGTGAGTGCTTTGACACATGAGCCTTGGTGCTCATGTGGATGATGCTAGTTCAAGACTGGATTATATCATTTACTGATCCCATTTCCCCCTTCTGACTGTTGATGTCTATAAAAAATGTTTTTTTTTTAAAAAGGCAAAATTGACAATAATAACATATAATAACGATGTTTATTGCAACATTACACAAGGCCTGACATCTGTGCTTCAAACAAGAGTTTGAGGAACACCATCAGACATACAAATGCTTTATTTCAGAGGTCAACCCACTGTGTGTGACCCTTTGGGTCATGTCAAACCCATCAGTACTGGCACAACATACTCTGCTTATTGTCACACGATGCAATTCGAGTGGGTGGGAAAACACAAATATATCCAGCATGCCCTCAGTCTGTTTGAGTTGACCACCTAATCTCCCAAAGCGCTCCCAAAAAAGTACCCCATTCTGCGGCCCATCATGGCAATGTCTGACAGATGTGAGACCACTGGACTGGAGGGTAGAGAATGAGGGATGAAAAAAGAGAAAAGAGAGGGACGGATAGTTGCAGGTTGCCAATCTCTCACCTTTTGGCAGTGCATTCCTTCTGTAACTCCGTCAAAGACTTGCGCTCAGACTCCAGACCCTGATGCTTGGTAGACGACGCCTCCTCTGAGGAGAAGAACACAGACAGGTGGAGAGAATAAAAGAGAGAGAAAAGATGGGAACAGGTAGTCTCATGTGTGTTTGTACAGGTGGGTAGGTGTGTCTCATTTTGATGGCAGTCTATTAAATTGTACCATCATAAAACATAGCCTTTCATCATAATAAAAACATTTCCTCTACAGGCAACATAAAACTAATTGAGATTCAAAAAATGCTTGTAGGGTTTTTTTTTTTACATAAATATAAGACGAGACCATATAATCAAAACACTCCTGACTCTAAATTTGGATAACGATTCCCAGAAGCAAGATAAGACTTGTTTAGCTTACAAAAAGTCTGACAGAGTTTAATGATGAAATTGTGAAATTTTACAATATTAAACACTTTCTAAATTGTTATTGTACTTATGTACATTTATGGGTGGTAACTCAACTATGAACTTTGGCCCCGTGAACTTTTTAAAAATTACAAATAAAATATTCAGTTCACAATTAATATTTAAATTAATTTTCATAATCTCAATCATGGTACACTAAATTTTGTTAAAACATTACTGGGGCAAAATTGTTGTTTGTGGTGGAAACAATGCCAAAGCTAATATGCTTAAAAATGGGTAGAAATCATTTTACATACATTAAATTATTTATGTTTATTTCATTGTTTAGATTTTCAGATTGATTAATGTTACATCTTATTTTAGAACTGAATGCCTGGGTCTGGAAACAATAAATAATAACAATGAAACAATAAATTCTAAACATGAAAGGCATTTGAAAAGTAGAAAATATAAATGAAGGCATTGAAAACATTAATTGGAAACAGAACAGCAAATTTCCTAAATCTGATTTGCTGGAAAGCTATAGACTCTGCCCAGATTACCTGACTCTAAGGGTTTTGCTGATGGTGTTCAAAGACATTTTCCAACCTAGCCTGCATGGCCACACTACCCCCATGTCATCAAAGCATCAGCCAGGAGTGTGCATGCATGTGTGTGAGTGTGAGTTGCAGTGGAATGCATGTGTCAGCCCCACTTCTATGCAATACTGTTGTGATCCATTATTTCAGAAATAATATCCACAGAAGAGGGAAAATAGAGAAAGAGACAGAAAGCAAGAGAGATTAATGTGTGTGAAATGAAGAGAGGAGGAGGTTTTAAATTCTTTCTACAGACAGGTCAAAAGGGGGATAGGCTGAAATTATGGTGTGCCTCAGGTCTCTGTCTTAGGACCAATACATATACAGTATTGGCCAGAGGATAACTGGCCCCCTGACTGAGCCTTATTTCTCCCAAGGTATTTTCTCCATTTCTTTCACCTATGGAGTTTTGGTTCCTTGCCACTGTCGCCTTTGGCTTGCTTAGTTGGGAACGCTTGACTGATTGCACAGACACTATTGGAAGAGAGCTGAACTGGATGACGACATAACTGAATCATCAATGAACTGACTTTAGCAGGAAAATGACTCTTTGTTATTGTCCTCTTGCATTATTGACAAACTATTTTCCTGTTTGACACTGTAAAGCTGCTTTGACACAATCAGTATTGTATAAAAAGCGCTACACAAATAAAGGTGACTTGACATACAGTATATATACACACAAATACATATTTCTATATATGTGTGGTCAGAATTGCATGAAGATTCTACAAAATAATTTTTTTTCAAGGAAGAAAGACAATTTTCATTTTTGGGTGAACAATTCCTATAAAGAGTTGATTCTTGTCTGTTCTTTTCCACTTCACTTACATAAAATAAGAAGATGAGGGAAGATGAGAGTGGAAAGAGAGAAAATCAAAGCAGACTGCCTGGTTTAAAAAAAAGGGGGGGCAAAATTGCTTTGTTCTGACTCGCACTTGTAAAAACAGAGAGCGTCTGCTTTATAATATGCCTCACATTCTCTTCTCTTTTACTGCTCTGTGGGATCTCTCTGTCCTAAAGCAAAGCTTGTCGGGACATCCTGGACCCTGGTGCTGTCTTTCTGAAGACATGGGAGGTGTGACCCAGGGAAATAGGAAGAGAGATCATTGTCGCTGGAGCAAAGCGGTCCCATATGCAAAGCCTTGAACCTCTCATTAGGACGAGAGAGCAGGAAAAAGAAAAAAAAGCCAGAGGCAGAGAAAGACAGAAAGGTCTAAACGTTGTTCTCTTTAAACAGTCCCCTATGACAAACTCTGCTTTAGTAATATCGCCTCTCTCGGCCATCAGAGTTGTCAGCACCAGGTTAAGGCCTCCTCTTCGACCGCCCACACCTTTCCTAAAGACTACTTGGAGGAAGTCATCTGCGTTTGCTCTGGAGAAACAACAGCAGAGGTTAAAGGGATTGTTCACCCAATAATATAAATTCTGTCATCATATACTCACCCTCAATCTTATTTCAGCTATGAAGCACGAAAAGACATTTTGAAGAAAGTTTCAGCTGTTTTTATCCATACAATTAAGTTAATGAGGACCAAAACAACACTGGACCACACAGACTTTCATTGTATGAACAAAAACCACCATTGAGACAATTAATTAACATTAAAAATATTTTCTTTTATGTTCCAAAGAAACAATTGATCTCATTACCGAAAATTACAGATGGAAATATTAATTGACAAAGCATTTTTTTTTATTTTGCCAACAATGAGATGAAAAATGCATGAAAGCTAAACCACAGAAAACTGAAGCAAACAGGTGTTCTGATGACCAAAAAGGACTAGTAAAAGTGTGTCCCCTTGCTCTATACTAATATTTTTTTTTTATATTCTTAACATTTTCCTCTTCATTTGTGGAGTGCCTCCACATCTGACATTTACAGGCCCTCGGTCCCGAGTGCAACTACCGATCATAACAACGTCAAATCACTTTTACGGGCATAATTTACAACATGTGCATGGACGTGACGAGAAATTAGAGCGAGGGAATCAGTGACAGGAGGCTTGACCCTGCAAAGCTTTATTCTGTGCTTCAATGGAAACGAGGAAGCGCTCAGTGACCAGAACCGGCGGGGGAGTGCGAGAGCGCATGACTGCAGCTTTGTACATTAAACAGAGATGAGACGTGGTTACACTTAAGTCATTTTGTGCAATTTCTGGCAATCTCCCTTTGTAAGTGGGATAAACTACAGTAGTTTTGGAAGGAGGCTTTCATGCTGTTTCTCAGAGTACTGGCCCGGTTAGTATCACAGCAAATAAGTGGTGACTGACAATAGCTTAAAGGACCATTAGTGTTTAAATGAAATTTGGGTGTGGGGCATTTGTTAGCGGGAATGGGAAAGGCAGGCTTCAACTGAGAGGAACATGACGGGGAAAAAAAACAAAAAAGAGAGCGTTTTTCTCCCTTATCTTTACTAATAATAACCCATTGAATATCTCATACTAAGGAGATGTTTGCAAAGAAGGGAAAGGGAAGACCAAATATGCATTTTTATACACTGAATGTTAACACTAAATAGAAAAACATCACACATCAACAACTGCATAATGCAGAAGAAAAGTCCTGTACAGTAATATAGCAAAAATATTCAATATTTCATTTTTAATGCAACATAAAGGCCATCCAATCTTTGTAAGCAACTTTTTGGACAACTAAATTGATGCATTAATAGTAATTGTTTTTGGTAGTGATCGTAGTGCCATATAGTTTTAGTGATGACTATTTCACTATTTTCGGTAACTGAAATTAAACTGAAATAAAATAAAACATAAATATTAGATGATAATAAAACCTAAAATACTTACTAAAAACTAAAACAGCCTTGGCAACTAACTGAAGTAAGTTGAAGTACTAAAATTACTAAAACTAAAACCTTGGTTAATATAATTAACTAAAACTAAAGCCATTAAAAAACATTTTGTTATTTCAAATAAAATAAACATTAATTGAAATAAAATTAAATATAAAAAGAAACAATTTAGCTAGTTGACAGAGCAACATTTCTCATATTTATTTAGGTTTAACTTGACATACTAAAATAACTCAAACTTAAATAAAAATTAAACAATTAATTCAAATATTAAAATTAATTCAAAATATTAAAACTATAATAGTATCTCAACAATACTAAAATAACACTGACTAAAGTGAAACAAAAACAAATTTAAGCTAAATAGAAATACTTTCTAAAAAAACAAAAACTAAAAAAAAATGACAAAAGCACATACAATTATAAAACTTAAATAAAATAAAATAAATAATACTAAAATAAACTGTGGAATTTTGCATTTTAAATTATACATTGACTTACAAATTTGGTGAAAGAAAGAAAGAAAGAAAGAAAGAAAGAAAGAAAGAAAGAAAGAAAGAAAGAAAGAAAGAAAGAAAGAAAGAAAGAAAGAAAGAAAGAAGCAAGCGGGGGTCAAGCGGTGTGCCATCATCCTTTCCTCTTACTCCAGTTCAAATACTTTTTTTCTTCAGCTCTTAAAAAGTATTTTCCTGTGTGTGAATGTGAATGGGCCGCTCCCTTCAGCTCCAGTCAGGACAGGCTCCTCTCGGCAGAGGCTGTTGGGTAGACTTCATCCATCTAGAACAGACCTTTCCCTGAACCCCAAATCTGTTGTTTGTTTCTACACACTAGGAGATCATGAATACAATACATTGTAGGATGGCAAGTACCAGGCCACTCAATCATTATAGTTGTGCAAGCGTGCGTATATGTATTCTTTATGAACCCTCAGTATGCAGCCCAACCCTCTAGTCAAACACCAGCCACCACATAAATCAAACTCACCTCTTCGCACCTCCCACCCATGCATAACATTTGGCAAATAAAAAGAGCAGGATTCAGAAATCAAACACGAATGGCAGGACGCTGTGACAAATGGGGCGGGAAGGAACTTAAGTTTTGGATAAACTCTGAATGTTCAGTGTCCGCCTGCACAGTTTGAATCTTTGATGGGAGCAGTGTAGAGTAACATAAGAGAATAATGAGACCACTAAATCACAACAAACACGTGTGGTGGTGGTGGTGGTCTGGACGGGCCAAAACTACAGAAGTGCCATTTTGCTACAAGAGGATTTATCAT